TGTGTGTGTGTGTGTGTGTGTGTGTGTGTGTGTGTGTGTGTGTGTGTGTGTGTGTTTGTGGGAGGAGGGAGACAGGAACATAAGTGGAGATGACTCACCAGTCTTTTGTGACAGTGGTGCAGAGAGAGTGCTTTTCACCCATTTCTCTCCCTTGGGGCTTGCATACAAAACAAGAAATGGAGAGAGGGTAAAGAAGAAAAGGAGAGAAAGATTGGGTGTTAGGAAGCATTAGGGGGGATTTGGGGGAGGGGGGGATAATTGAAGGAAAAAAAACTGGGAGAAGATGGCAAATGAGTGTAGAGAGCTGGACAAAGAGAAGCGAAGAAAAGATGAAAGGAGTGAGCAAAAAAAAAAAAAGACTAGGGTTGCAAAGATCATAAACAAAGGATGCCGTTTCACGGGAGAGGCACTGGCAGCTCTGCCTTTGTTGTCCTAATGGCTGGTGAAAGCATTGTTGATGGGCCATATTGTGTTCAGCGTAGGTAGTAACAGATGAATCAACAAAATAAAAGGGGGTCACAGTGATAAGATTCAGATTTAATTTGGAAAAAGCATCCAGGTCAGGAGTGTGTTAACCCTTTGAGCAGCTTTCCTGAATATCTGCCTACCTTTACTTATTTATCGGCAGCTTGCCTACTTGGAAATAATTCTGTCAAACACAAATGAAAGTCATGAAAATTTATTGTGCATGTTGATTTGTATTCACAGCATTTTAAGCTAATTTATGATAGCAGTAAGTTTATATATTTTTTTGTTTTTCTTCTGCTTTTTATTGCAGTGTTTGGATCCTCAGGACCTAAAAGGCCTGCTTATTGAATTTTAAGCTCAAGATGTTTAGAGCTCCGTGATGTAAATGTTCAGCTAGAGACCATTTAATGCAACAGGTTGATGATCAGATCCTTGAGTGTGGTGGTAACCAATACATTTAAAAAAAACACACACACACACCCCATAATTATAGTTCTGTTAGAAGGTGCTTAATGGTAACTCATTAAATGTACCATTTCTGCAGCAATGCCCTGATTGAGTCACCATCCCATATTTCCCTCGTGCTGCTGCGCAGGTTTTCAGTAACAACCCGTCAAATATAAAAGGCTGCAGACCTCACCAGGTCAGAAGAGGCATCCCATTAGGCCTTTGTTCTCTCAAACTCTGCAGCCATTCACAGTTACAAACGCAGCGACAAAGGGGTCATGTAACAGGATAAACTCTAATTAGCGGCATTTCTCAGTTTCAAAAGAGTTGTGGAAATCAGCAGCTTAATAGGAGTTTAAAAAGCAACACGAGGCAGCTCACAGACCTCCAGCAATTTCACATCATCCCATGTTCGAATGTGACGATGATGAGAGATGAGATAGCCTTTATTTGTCAGTTGCTGTTGCCCACAACTGAGATGACAGACCTTGCCGACCGTACATACAATGCACAAACATCACATTGGGGACACAGGTCAGGCTAGGTAGCAAGGGAAAAAAAAAACATCGAAATGTGTAACACAAAAGGATAATACAGGAATGCACAGATATCAACACACCATAACACAATAAAACACAGACAAGCCGCATGGGAGAGTATTCTAGTGTGTACAGCTGATCTGGGACCGCTGCAGTCTTCGATTGCGCCTCCAGCTGATCCGGTGTCCACATCGGATGGAAGGTAAGCATGGGAGGAAGCATTGGATTCGGGGGAGTGAGGGCGTATCAGTATCTGTGTACATGTTTCGTGCGTGTGTGTGTGTGTGTGTGTGTGTGTGTGTGTGTGTGTGTGTGTGTATCCCGTGTTCAGCTGAGAGAAAGTGTCAGCACGCCCGGTTAAGCAAAGGTCAACAGTCTCCAGCGGACCAAGGTGGCCTTGAAGGAGGTACAAAGAGTTCTGATAACAGTCCTGTTATCATGGGAAGAATTTGTTGTTCCAGTCAGCTTCAACCTTGGCAGGCCTTCAGCTGGCACCAGGGGGGCCGCATGAGTGAAGATGGTGAATGTTTGGGTTTAGTGGAACAGCTGCATCCAATTTTTACAGTTGGTCTAATGTCCATCACTGGTCACCAATTATCTCAATTCCCGTTGTTCTTCTCCAAGATCTTTTCCATACTGCGTTCAAAACACAGTCTGAGTACTCACAGCCCTGCCAATTGTCTATCATGTCGGCCAGCCTTATAGGATTTTGAACAGCTGTAGCCGCTTCTTGTTCTTCGATAAGGTCCAAGCCAGCTCCAATCAGCCCGAACTCTGTTATCGTGGTTCCAGATTGGTAGATGTCGTTCAATGTCCTGCATCGAGAGTGTCGCCAGACACACGACG